TGCGCGGGCGGACGTCGCGCGGGAACTTCTTATCCACGCGCCAGACAAAGTCTCGAGGACCAGCCACAACTTGAAGGAGGTGCCCAAGACAGACGTTGACGCAGCGTCGCCCACTCGGAAGGCAGCGACGACGGCCAGTTCTGGATGCGACGAGTGTCCGCGGGCAGGTTCCCGCCGCCACCTCGCGCTGTCGTCGGGCAGCCAGCGATCGCCATTGCGCGTGTCTTCCGCAAAATGCCAGCGGCGGCGAGCGCGGTGTTCTGCAGCTTTTTTTCGGGTAGCTACAGGCGGTTGCGCGGCCGGGTAGATCATGATGCGAGGGATACCCGCGCGGGCAGCAGCGTGGAAGTGCCTCTCGCATGCGTCCGCGGCTGTCTGGCAGCGGCCGTCGCCGTCTTGACAGGGGCTGAACGCGTCGTCGAACTGCGGCCGGCGAAAGACGCGTGTGAAGTAAGACGCGCGCCACTTCATCCAGTCGGTGCAGTCGTCGATGTTGGGGTCCATGAGCACTCTCAAGATTCATCGTGGAGCCCATGCTCCGGCGCGCTCATTCATGTAGGCGTTGGGTTGTTCGGGATCGGGATCAGGTCGATTGGGTTGGTTTCCTCGGAGCTCATGGAAGGGTCGAGCACGCACTTGAAGCCCGAGCGATGGCAACCGAGATTTGAAGCGCTTGAGGATTGTCTTGTCGAAGGCGTCGCAGTGGGGCTTGTTCTGAGGCTCGAACAGATGCGCTTGTTGAGGAGACGTCGGCTTCGATGATTGCCCCTTTCCTTGGGCCTTGGGTCTCGCCACGACTCTGGGACCCGTTTCGACCCTCTTCCGATGGCCCCAGTCGCCCAGCAGCAGCGGCGCGGCGGCATGCGGCCACCACTGCTTGAGTGGCTCTCGTCGGCGTGCCCAGCGAGGGCTCGATCGCTGCGAGGAGCGACCCCCTGCGCGTCGGGGCGCGCCAATTGCTCGCCATCATCTCGATGCGCCGCGGGGCGGAGAGCTCGCCCTCCCAGCAGTCGGCGCAGCAGCGTCAATCGATAGCTTGGCAAAAGGGAAGGGGAGCTTCAACAACTGCGCGATGCAGACGGAAAAAGTGGGGCCACGTCGTCAACGTCATCGCGTCTGTGCGCCACAGAGTAGCCGAGAGCAAGGCCCCAAGCCCTGCGGCATCAACCCCAGTCCATCGATTGAATGAGAAGATGTCTATCTTGGTGAAACTGGATGGAGCTGCGTGCTGTAGCTTGCGCGGAGCGCGCAGCTTTCTTTGGCAAGGAAGAACGGCGAGGGCGGGTGCAGCTGGCTGGAGTGCGAGAGGCAGGTGGCGCGGCAAAGTTGTAGAGCTTGGCGCTCTTCTGGAGCGGCGAGCGAGCACTCCCTCCCAGTGCCCCACCACTTGCTGGAACGACCCTTCAATTGCGTAGAGAGAATGAAAGAGAGAGATATACATAACAAAACAATGAATAATTAACGACACAGAGAGTGAGAGAGAGAGAGAGAAACAACAAAAAGAGAAGCACCAGGACCAATGAACTCGCCGAGGTACCTCGCGTAGCTGTCAATCTTGAAGTCGCGCCAGGGCGGGTGGATGTCGGCGAAGAGCTGCTGCGTCGGCTGCGTAAGCAACGGGATAGGATGCGTCCAGTTTGGAGCGATGATGAATCTCTTGGCCTGCAGGTGAAAGCCAGCGAAGAGTTGAGCAGCTTGTAGATGCGGGGGGAGCTTTTCGATGTCACGTTGTGCGACCACCCAGGTCGTCGGCGCATGCGCTGATCAGGCCACGGTCGACGCGATCTAACTCGAAACTCATGACTCGGATTGTCGGGTCGGAGATGAGCGCCCGCAGCGCGCCGCTAAGCGGGCTGCCATGAGCGACGCCGACTGGGGAATGGGAAGGGCACGACGGACTCCGCCCATCTCGAGAGAGGTGAATGGCACGTGGTAGCAGGGGCGAAGCTAATTGGGCATGGGTCCGTGAAGGCCCAAGTGCGCGAGGACCTCCCAGAGCCGTTCATGCAGAAGGCTGGGGAAGGCAGCCGCTATGCCCTTGCCGGCGCAGCACGGCGTGAGCTTGTCGGCGCCCCCAGAGATGCCGAGCTCGCGCGAGACCGAGTTGACCTCGACGATGTTGTTCAGGAGCTGTCGCCCGCTGACGAAGCCCATCTGCTCATTAGCAGTCTGGGAAACAGCGCGGTGCAGCTTGCGTTTCGCGCAGGAGGCGACGCGCTTGATGTCGCTGTTTTTTCATGGCATGCGGGCGCAGGGAGTCAGGGGGCCGGGCGCGTTCGAAGTTGCCGAGGGGCTCGTCTCCCTGAGGCAGCGCGGCCACCATCGAGTGACCCAGGTCGAAGGGGATCACGCCGCCATTCGCGGACGAGAGGGGAGCTCGGCCAGGGGCTCCAGGCAGCCAAGGGGGGTGATGTCCATTAGGTCCAGGTGCAGAGTCACCAGCCTCGCGGGCAGCGTTCTGGAGGTCCTGGAGATCAGGAATGGGTAGATCGACGCAGTAACGACATGGAGAGGCTTCATCAAGGAGCGCTTCGCGTGAGAGACGCTAACGGCCTTGGCGGAGAGATCATGGCCTGGACGGCTCTGGATCGCACTGCGCATGGCCATCGGGTCGGCGACGACGCGGCGCTGGGCGTCTGCGGAGATGCGCGCGCCCGCAAAAATCGAGCGTCTGGCCAACGGCTTCCAGAGTACACCGCGTAGCCCTGCACGGCGAGCACGCTGTCGCCATATGTCCCCGAGCTGGCGGTTCAGCTCTCGACAGGGAGATCGAGCGCGGGCGGCAGCTTCCTGGCGACGCTTGTCAGCGACAGCCAGGTGCGCGGAGTTGACCTCCGTCGCGAAGTCGTCGGCGTTGAAGATGGAGATCGCACCGTTGTCGAAATTGAAGCAGGCGGCGCCGGCCTCGATGTCCGCGGCCAGCAGCTTGGCGAGCCGAGAAGCCTGGGGCCATGCGGGGCGAGCGATGCAGCTCAGTGCCATGACCCGCGCCACTTGACAGGTTCGCGGGGCGATATCCTTCAGCTCTGCTGGGTGTAACTTGGCGAGGCGTGCGAGCTGTCCGCGCTGCTGGGGGTATCTGGGCAATTTCCAGGGCGGGTCGAAATCCGACGTGTGTTCACCATGCTCAGGAAGCGCGAGAAAGAAAACTTGTAGTGCCAGGGGTCGAAGATGAAGGCGGGAATGCCATTCTCCGCAGGCGGGCGCTGCGCCCGAGAAGGGAGACGAATATGAAGTTCTTAATGGTCATTTTTTTCTCCAGCAGACGGCTGTCGACGGTCAGGTGGACATCCAGGCGTGGGGTGTTGTGGGCAGCGGTGGCGCTGAACCGGCGGTCGATGGTGGCCTCCCTCTTTCTGGCCGAACAGCGGCAGCTGGCAAGACCAACGGGCAGTTCGGGGACGGGCGCTGGCAGCGATTCGTCGCGGGGGCGCCGACGGGGCGCAGGGGGGGGCACTTGGGCGGCAGCTCGTAGGTGTTGAAGCCGCCGATCAGGATGAAAGTTGTGCGTGTCTGCGTTAACAGCGACGCATGATTTGGCGATGTCCCAGGCGTGCTTGAATTTCTGCCTGTCCTCGACTGTTAGCTCGCGGTTGTGTGCGTTGTCGGTGGTGGCCACGCAGGTGCGCGAGCTGCCCAGCACCGCAGCTCGGCTGCGCGTCCATGAACGACAGGATGGAAATCGCAAAGAGGGCGTCCTCGCCCGGAGAGATGGAGTTCCTGCTTGTCGCATGGCACCAAGCAGCCGAGCCTACCAGCGGTCTCCCCGTGCCCGTCGCGCGGAGCGGAACGCCTCATTGCGGTGCGCGGTGAGAAGTTTGCCTGGTGATTGACCAAATCGCTTGATGAGAGACAACCGCCTTTGCAACGCTGAATACAGCATGATCGAAACCATGCAACAAAGTACAAGCCAGCGAATGTAATATGGAGAATGTGACAGCGAGTACAACTTGTCGAAAAAACTGTAACAAGGGCACAAGCATCTTTGAATTATGTGCCCACCCCACGGGCCGAGTGCACCCGTAATGGTGGGGTGTCTCTTGCCCGGGGGCGCGCCTGCCTTAAGGGCTGCAGGCGCCCGCGGCCCGTTCCGTCTCCAGCGTGACGCGGGACAGGCCGACGTTGACACGAACGACACCTTTGTTTCCGACGTAGGGAAAACACCACGTGCAAGGCGCTCTGTGAGCTTCCTTTTGACACTGTGTCTGGCTTCAAGCACGGTAGCTGTATTTGCCAGAAGATGACGAGCCAGGCTACTAAACCCTGATCATGTGGCCTTCACAAAAGGGAGGAAACGACTCGGTGGGCTCGGCGAGGATCTGAAGGTCGGCCAAGCTGCCGCGGGTCTCCGGCAGCACGATCATCGTGGCCCGCCTCATGCACGGCAGGAAGATCTTGCGCTTGAGCGGGCGCCGGGCTGGCGAGCGACGCAACAGCGCCTGAATAATTCACGAGACAATGTTGGGGCCGTCGGCCTGCTGCTCGATGAACCATCTTGGCCAGGGGGTGCTGCAACCACTGCGCGACAACCATCGGATCCGCGAAGGCTGCAGCACGCTCGGCGGCGATCGCATCGCGTTCTCGGGCAGAAATGCCCGCGGGGGCGCCGGTGACAGACCGACGAACTTCGGTGGCCGCCACAGGTGCGGACCCAGCGGCGACGCGCGCGATGGGCAAGCCGTTGGCCGCGAGACAACCGTGCGCGCGGTGGATTCTGACCTCGAGCTGGGGTTGTTTCGCGATGACGAGCTCGTTGAATTTCTGGAGTTGAACTTCTCGTCGAACTATTCGCGGGGACTTCTCCGCGGAGGCGATGAGCCGCGCGGGGCCTCGGCAGGGCTGGGCGGGGAGCCTGCGCCGTTTTTTCCCATGTCGAAGACCTTTGGAGAGAGCGGCGCAGCGAGGAAGCGCATTGACACCACCGCCAGCAATCGTACATGACACTCTCTTTCCAGGGCCAGTAGCTTTGGGGCGCATCCCGTCGATGTCGACGGAAACTGCTAGATGCCAGTGAGCGAGGGCATCCGCGAGCGCGCCCAAGACGCATTCAGCGCCAGTCGCCGATCCCAGTTGCCCAGCGCGTTGATATCGACGTAGGGGTGACGAGCGTCGGCCGCGGCGATGGAGCGCTCGATGGTGACGACTTGTTTTCCTGTAGTTCAGCAAAGGGGACTTCTGCTCGATCGGCGCGAGTCTTGAGCGAGGTGACGCGTTGTCCGCTCTTCTCTTGGCGTCCGCGAACTTTTGCCGCGGCCCTGGCGATGGCCTCGGTGACGTGAGCTTGGGCTCGGGCAGTGACTAGCTTAGCGGTGGTCTCGAGAGCGGCGGTGGCGTCGTCCACTTGTTCCTGCAGCAACCATATAAAAAACTGCCCCGTTGGTGCGCTGGGGGCCCTGCCGCTAGACATTCGGCGGCCCCAGCTGCCCGCGGGTCAACTGTGCCATCGAAGCCTTTACTTCCATCGTCGATTGCAGACGAACCCTGGGGAGCGTCCGCGCCACAGTGCGAGCGATGAGGCCCGCGCCCGAGACGGCGGGAGCGCGGGGTGGAAGCCGACTGCAGGCGAATGCATCGGAGAGGGCTATGAAACTCGACCTCGCGGGCGTGAGGAAGGCGCGGGGTCTCCGCGCTCCGCCGAAGGGCGAAAGCAGCTCGGGCCGAACTGGCCACGGAAGAGGACGAGGAAGAAACAACAAAAAGAGGCGGAGGAGGCGGAGGAAGGGGGAGGATGGATGGGGCAGCATCAGACAGGCCTTGGCGGCCGTCAGCGAGCTGACGACCGCCGGGGCCCCAGACGTCGAAGGGCCGGCTGCCCGCGGAAGGCCGCGCGCCCCGCGCGCGGCCAACGCGCCGCCCTCGGCGGCGCCAGAGGCGCGCCCGCCCCTTCCTCGCCACCGCAAGCAGCCTCGAGGAGGCTGCAGGGCCCCCCTGGCGCGGCGGCGGCCCCGCGGGGCGCTGCGCTGGCGGCCCTTCCCCGCCCTCCGCCAGCCGCAACTGCGGCCGGCCACCCTCGCCCCACGCGCGCGGCCTGGGGCGGGCTGCAGCGCCTCCCTGGCGCGGCAGGGGGCCCGCGGGGCGCCGCGCCGGCGGCGCTTCCCCGCCCTCTGGGCGGGCCGCCCCCCACTTGCTGCGCGCCGCTCCTCTGCGTGGAGCTGTCGCGTGGCTGCCCCTGGCTCGGGGGGAGGGCCTCGGGTTGCTCGGGGAGCTGCCCCCCGCCCCGCCCTGACCGTCGCGCCGCCCCCCCTGGCCGCCTAGGCGCCGCCCGCGCCGCCCCACCAGCGGCGGCTCGTTTCCCTGCCTCGCGCCAGCGGCGACCCCCGCGCCCGCGGCGCTCGGAAGGCCCGCGGGTACCCCAGCCGCCTGTTCCTCAAGCAGAAAGCGGGGGGCCCCCCCTCTGGTCGGCGGGGCCACCTGCCGCGGTCTTGCCGTGGCTGCGCCATCGCATGCCGCCCCCCGCGGGCTGCGCGATTCCTTCTCTTCGGCAGGCTCGATGGCGATGGCGAGGGAGACGGCGGAGCCCTGCGGCGGGGGCCTCTGGATGAAGTGCGGCCCCTCGACCTGGCGCGGGTTGCAGGCGGAGGCTCGGCTGCTCGGCGGCGGCGGGCCGTGCGGGGCGACCGCGACTCCAAGCCTCCTCGCGCAGCTCGCTGGTCCTCCTCTGCCTCATGCGCCAGGCCCCCCCTGGCGTCATATCTTCGAAGTGGGCGCGGAACGGCTCCGTCGCGAGGAAATCGGACACCTCCTCGACGCAATGTGCCATCCGCCCGTCGTGCTCCTCGGCGGGCCAGACCAAGTCGGTGATCCACTTCCCAGCGAGGCCAGCCAGCCCGGCGAGGAAGCGCCTGAGCCGCTGCTCTGGCAGAAGAAGTCCGCGGCCGCGGCTGGCAGGCCACCTCGCAGTTCACCCCATCGAGCTCCAGCTCGACGTGGCGACATCGAGCCTGCAGGGCTCCCTCGCGCGGGAGCCTCCTCCAGACTTTGCGATCCAACGCCTCCAGCACGGCGTGGCGGGAACCAGAATTGTTCCCTCGCGTGGGGTTTTCCTCGGGACTTTGGGTCACTCTGCCGTCGCTGCCGACCTCGAGTTTGGCGTGGTACTGGTCTTGCTGCAGTTCGAGAGCACGTGCGCTTTGATGGTAGTGCCCTCGACTCTCCACTACGCCATGCACGTCGAGACTGCTGAAGCCGACCCGATCCAACATCAGCTCCAGTTCGCGTGCGCAGTGACGGTAGTCCCCGCGGCTCTCCACTACGCCGTGAACCTCGCCATTGCTGGTCGAGCCACCCCGAAGCTCACCAGGAACCAGAAGCTCATTACCTCGTGGTCAATGCTGGGGAGACGGCTGCCCCGCACCACCTGGCCGCACAGCGGTCGTCGCAACCGTTGCACCTCGAGGCGAGGTTCCCGCCAGGGACACGTCCTTAGGACTGCCATCAAGAGGCTCCGATACGACGACTTGTGGGCAAGTGGGGTCAGCCGCCAAGGCGGGCGCCGTCTCGAAGAAGGCGCCGTGGGCCCGACCTGCCTGTCGCCGAGGAATATGCGGAACATCTCGGGGGGGGGGAGCGGGGGTGCGAGGGCCCGCGCCGATCCGGAAGACAATGAATAAGATAACGATTGCCTGCTGGCACCTGTTCCGTCGTCAACTCCTTCTGGGCCGCTGCGGGGGATGCGCCAAAGTGGCGCCCTTGTTCCCTGGGCGCCGAGGCGCTCATGTCAAACCGTGCCGAAAACCTTTGTTTGTCTTTCTCTCTCTCTCTCTCTCTCTTTCTCTCGCTCTCTTTCTGCCCGTGTTTCTCCCGCTGTCTCTGTCTCTCTCTCTCTCTCTCTATTTCTCTTTGTTTGTCTCTCTCTCTCTCTCGCTCTGCGCGGGGGCGCCCGCGGGCCCTTGAGGGGTCTGCTCACGCCACGCCCGCTTGTTTTCTCACACGGGGACCCCTTTTCAGTCCACGCCATCGGAGGAGGTCATCCCACGCACGCATTTTTTCATTCGCGGCCAAAGTGAGGAATGAAAAAAACGACCCCACCCTGGGTTACAAGTGCGTGGTCTGTAAACCTCCTGGGAACCCCCAAAGCCTAGAGCCGCCAGGACGCGGCACACCACGCAGGGTCTACCCTGTCAGCCCACATGAGTCTCAGCGCACAGCGCCTCGTAAACCAGGGTAGGGGCGTTTTTTATCCCCTTGACAAAGGGGGGGCGTTATGGGGGGGAGGAGGGAGGGGGGGACGGGAGGGGGCCTAACGTGGCGCCCCCCTCCGCCCCCAGACTGTGGTGCTGGACGCTCTGCGGCAGGTGCCGGGGACGCACGGGTGGTGGGACGCGGGAAGTTATGGGGGGAGCGGGAGGGGGGGGAGGGGGGTAGGGGGCATAATGCGCACTGTGGCACTGCGGGAAAAACAACATACTCGGGAGCGGCAAAGAGGGGGGTGTCCAAGAGGGGGGGGGGTGCAAATCATGACCGGCGGCACGTGCGCGGCCCAGCGGGGGGGCCAGGGACGTAATGAAACAAGAAGAGGCGCCATGAAATCTGAGGAAAAATCGTGGCCCGCGCCATGAAATCCCCCCCCCCCCCCCTAGCCATCACCCCCCTCTTTTCCGCTCCCGACATACCTCTCCACCACCCCTGCTCCACATGCGGCGCATCCCGCTCTGCGAACAAGGCCTGCCGGGCACGTGCGGCCCGGGGGGGCCTGGACAGCCCGTCGTCCGAACGGTTGCGATCTCTCTCTCTCTCTCTGCCTCTCTCTCGAGATGTCTTATTCTCTGCCTCGCTCTCTCTCTCTCTCTCTCGCAGTCCTTTTTTCTTTCTCTCTTTCTCTCTCTCTTCCCTCTCTCCCCACATTTCCTCTCCCTCTCTCTGTCTCTCCTATTCTCTCTCTCTCTCTCTTTCTCTCTCCCTCTCCCTCTCTCACTCTCGCCTCTGTTCTTCATGCTCCACGTTCCGCCGTCCCTCCTCCTCCCCGTCCTCCTCCTCCTCCTCCTCCTCCTCCTCCTCCTTCTCCTCCTCCTCCTCCTCATCCTCCTCCTCCTCCTCCTCCGCCTCCTCCCTTGGAGCCGGGCCATCTCACAAGGGCATGGGCTGCAGGGAGGGCGGGGCATCATCTGCCCCTTCTTTGTCAGGCGGGTGGTAATGGGGAGTGGCCCAAATGGCGGGCGAAGAATAGGGACCTAAACGGGCCCTTTGGGGCCCCCTTTGGAGCCAGCTGGTGCCCAAAAGGGGCCCTAAAGGGCCCCCTTCAAAAGCCTTTCTCTTCACCCCCCATCTGGACCACCGCCCATTCCCAGACATGCGACGTCCTGATTGTTTCCATACCCGGAAATCCCGACCATTTCCCTGGAACCGGCTTTTCATCCCGAGTCGCTTTTCGACGGTCCCGAGCCCCAGCGAGGGCCCCCTGAGGCCCAAGCTCGACAACAGCCTCCGGTCCCGATTTGTCTACGACGCGATCGCGTCTGGGTTGCCACCCGCCCGGCATTGGTCCTCCCCTCTGCCTGGGCTCTGGCCCGCCCGCGGACCCCACGACCGTGCCCGTGAGGAAGCCCTGCTCCGCTCCCAGGTACACCTCTCGGGGGGGGAACGAAGGTGGGGCTGGGGCTAAGGCAGGGTTGGAAGGTAAATCGCCCCGAACGGCCCCTGGACGAAGGAAACGCGCTCCACAGGAGCATCCAGCCCCACCTGGGGATAACCTTCCCTCTACGAACCCCCGAACCTCTGTGCGCGGCCAGGGGGCGTCCGACGTGGGCGGCGCTCGGAAAGGGCGAGGAAGCGACCAGGCGCCAGGTCGGCAGGCCCCGTCGGGCCCCAAGGCTGCCCCAACATCGGCGTGCCCGTCCTTTCCAGCACTGAGCTGCGAGTAGGGGATCGTCTACATCATTGATTTGTCCGAAGATTGATTCGCTCCTGGAGTACACGCCAAATGCGTATAATGCTCGTAGATCTACTGACACGATTCAGATCTGTCTGTACAGTCGGCCAGAACATGAATTATGGGGTAAGTCAATGTTGTAGTCGATTCCCTACTCGAGAGCTGCCCCCCTATACGCAACACAAAACACATAGCGTTACGACGCGCAGCGCAACACGTAGACTGAACACGCAGGTCTTGAACGACACGTTCGCCAAGACGCGGGCCAACACCTGCCGATCCAATACGCGGCGTGTGAAGATGGGCGTGCCGGGGCAGATACGTCATAGAACTGACAAGGGAAGGTTCAGGGGGGACTGGCTCGGGGCGGGGGGCGGCCATGAGACAGCGACCTGGAACCGGCGATGCATCGCCTGCGGATTCGCGAGAGGCCTCCGAGAGCGGATCCGCGGGCTCCTGGCCGGGGTGGCCACTGTTGAGACCCCGTCGGCGATGAGTGGGCGAGTGGGGGTCGATGTGCACCCTCCCTGAGCAAAACCCCTCACCCAGCGTGCCGCGGAAACACCGAGCCCGCCGCCCCGGAAGATCGGGTCGGGCGAAAGGGGGGGATAGCAAAGGGGGGGAGTGAGAATCAGCTCACGCAGCTGATCTTCCCTGCGCCTCCCGGCGCCAGATGCGGCCATGTGTCGAGGAATGGGCCCCTCGGTGAGGCCGAATCCAGCTGCATGCAGCAAATTTCGCACCCCCCCCTTTCCCAATCCCCCCCTTTCGTCCGGCCCAAGAAGAGCACGGAGGCTGGCCGCGTTTCCTGCGGGCGCCCCCGCCTGCACGGGCATGCCGCCGTCGAAGCGCCTCCGCAAGCGCTTGCCGGGCATGTTCTTGAGCACGGGCAGGTCCTCCTCCGGCATCGGGCCGTCCTCGGGGCTGATGCCGAGGCTGCCGTTGCCGTCCTCCTGTCCGAGGGGCAGCGGCGGGACCTGCGGCGGCCTGCTGCTCGCCCGCTCGGCGGCGCCGCCGAGCGGGGCCACCGGCGGCACCGAGTCGAGCTCCGCGCTGCCTGAGTGCGGCCGGGGCGCGGCCACGAGAGCGCCCTCGCCAGAGGCCCGGGGGCCCCACGAGGGCACCCGAATCAAGAGCAGCCGCGGGGGGGAGGGGGAGGAGGAGGAGGAGGAGGAGGAGGGGGAGGAGGAGGAGGGGGAGGAGGAGGGGGAGGAGGAGGAGGAGGAGGAGGAGGAGGAGGAGGAGGAGGAGGAGGAGGAGGAGGAGGAGGAGGAACCCCTGGGTTTGGCAGGAAGCGTGGGGGGGGGGGGGAGCGGGCGCCGCCCCGCCGGCAGCCCCAAAGCAGACCCCGCCCGTCGAGGGCAGGCAGTGCCTCGCGGCGACGATCCCAGTCGGCCCACGCGGCGGCGAGCGAGGGGAGGCGGGGGGGGCACGACTTGTTGCCCCTCCCGGCGGCAGAAGCAGCAGTCATCCAATACAGGGGTGTTGTTGAGAGATCGCCGCATGCATGCAGGTGTTTCTGTTTGCCGTATCGCATTGCACGCAGTATTGTGTCGATCATGCACTTGCCGTGTTCGCATGCCGCTGCCATTTTCATTCGAGTCCTGACGAGCCCCAGCAGGGGCGAAACGTTGACACGTGTACTGAAAAGGCACGGGCTTGAGAGCGCCATACGAGTAAGGTGTGGGGCGGCCCTTCTCACAAGGCTCGGAAGTCCGCGGCCTGGCAAGCTTTCGAGCCTTCACCGAAAGCACAGCAGACCTCTCAGACATTTGGAGGCCTTCTGAGAAGCCCCGCCGCCTTCTCGGAAGGCCTTCTCCTTTCCACTTCCCCTCCTCGCTCGCCGCCGACCCACGCCGACCGCCGCAAAAACCAGGCCCCGCGCGGCCAGACTGACGTTGACCCCCGTTGGGGGGGGGGGCACTCCCCCACGCTCATCATCGATCACAAGTCAATGGTGAAGGCACCGAGTCGAGCGCCGCGTTGCCTGCCGCGCTGCCTGAGTGCGGCTGAGGCGTGGCCACTCAAGAGCTCGGACCACCATCGTGGACCCCTTCGCCAGGCGAGAGACGAAGAGGAGCGGGCCTTGCGCGGGAAGACGCATCGACCCTGCGCGGTGCCTTGCGCGGGCCGCCAGCTCCGCACGCTACATTGGAAACGAGGGCACGCACGCGCAAGTTCGAAGGGGCCCTGGGACACACAAATGAATAGACACGAATTACAGGATTCCCCATCATTTCCCATACTTTCTGGGTGTTTGTCTTCCCCACCTCTTCCCATATTTTCCGATCTGTTCTGGGGAATCGACGATTATCTGTGTCTGTGTGTGTTTTTCCCCCCTCCTGAAAGTTTACACGGGCAGCTTACGCGCGGATGTCGGGGCAGTCGACCCCGTTTTCGCCCGTCGCTCACATGCCCAGGGCCACACGGAGGCACCCCAAAAGAAGAGCAGCCCCGGGGCGGAGGCCCAGCACGCGAAGAACCCACGGGGTGCCGCCACGAGCGCGAGCCTCGCCGCCAGAGGCCCATGGCCCCGCGGGCGCACCCGACACGAAGAGAAGCTCGAGGCGGAGGCCGAAAAAAGGGAAGCACCTGAGGACCCGACGGTACACCCTGCGAAATGCTTAAGAAATCATGGGTTAAGAAATTCATAGTCTCAGAACTTGAATAAAACCCAACGTTTCCATTAAAATCTCAAGATTTACATTGAAACGTTAAGAATTATCGAGACTCTGGCCGAAAACTTGAGTTTTCTTAAGCATCGCCTAAGGTGTACCCCTCCCAAGCCGAGGTTGCTCTCACGATCGGGAAGTTCTGCCCATCGCGTTGCGGGGCGGCGGTCCTGGCGACACACACTATGCCCTGCAGGCTGCTGGCGTGCCGCTCTGCCGAGCGGGCTGGGAGGCCGGGAACGGATCGGGGCGCCTACGTTCGGGGACCAGGGCGTGCCCAGCCGTCGCTGGCCGATCCGCGGGCCGACCACGCCACCTGGCCACGCGGTCGGGGCACGCTGCCGAACTCCGCACTCGTCGGAGGGGTCCACCGGCGCGGGATCGCCGCGGTCGACGATCGCGTGGCCGCCTGAGCTCTGTGATCCCGGGTCGCCGATCGCACGATCCGATGGCACCGAGGGCACTGCCAGCGACGTCCTGATCGCCGCTGTTCCTCAACCTGCGGCTTCCGCGGCCTGGCCTCCCCTCGTACTGGTTCCCCTGGAGCTCCTTCTGGGCCTTGAGCTGCCTGGCGTGCTCCAGCATGTCCGTCTTGAGCTCGCTGGGCTCCAGCACGATGTCGTACCCGAGCCTCGGGTCCTGCGGCGCCTCCTTCGGCGCCGCATGTATGGTGGCCGGGTACCAGTCCCCGTGCTTCTTGGAGAACACGCTCACCTTCGCGGTGTTTCTTCTAGAGGCGAGGCCGCCGCACGCCACGGCCCGGGGCTCCGACCAGTCTGGAGAGGCGGCCCCTGGATGTACACATACCTTTGCGAGGACCTCCCCGAAAAGAAGAGTCCCCATCTCCCGTTGTCCTCTTCTTCCTCCACATCCCCGTCCTCCTGAACAACCTCCTCCCCTTCCTCCTCCTCCTCCTCCTCCTCCTCCTCCTCCTCCTGCCCCCTTCAACTCCCGTCCCTCTTCCACCTGCTCCTGCTGCTCATACTCCATACTCCTCCATTGCTCTTTCTCCGCTCGTTCTCCGCCTCCCCCTGCTGAGGCTCGTCGTTGTCGTCGTCCTTATCATTATCCTCTTTCTCCTCCTCCTCTTCATGATCCTGCTCATCGCTGCTGTCACCCTCCTACTCCGCCCCAGACAGCCTGAGATGCCCCAAGACATACTCAGGACGGCCGCCGAGGTGTGACACGTGACGGCGTTCTGAGTGGTATGAGCAGCACCCCTGAATAGCCCAGGGCGGTCTCAACACCTCAACCCTGGGGCGCGGAGCACCTCCGGGGCACCGCCGGAGGCGGCGCAAGGGTCTTGAGACCGCCCCGGACGACTCGGGGGGCCTGTCGAGGCCAGCCGGGACTATTGTTTTATAAAAAAGCTTGGAGGGCAGCTATCTTCCCCGCGGAGCCACTGGGGCTCTCAAAACGCTATCCACCTCTGCAAACTCAGCTCCCTGCACAGATGGCCAGCGCGGACTACTTGGGGGGTCTGTCTGTGCGCAGCCCGAAACCTCACCAGCTCGAGATGTGAGACGTGACGCCGCTCTGAGCGATACGTCAACCGGCGCTCGATTCACACCATGCGGCCTCCCGGCGCCCCTCGAGCAGTCGCCTCCGAGGGGACAAGCGGGTTTTCGATTCTTCGGGTGTGCCGAAGAGGGGGGCCATGAAGAGGGAGGGTGCACAAGGGACGAGTGGGGGGCTAGTGGACGCACGCGGACGGGTGGGGGCCAACCGGGATTTGGAAGCTTCGGGCAGGATGTTGTTGGTGTACATCATGGCCCGAAGCACCTTCGCACATCATGACTGGGGGCCAAGGGATGCATTGCAATAAGACGATGGGGCCAGGATATATGTGGCGAGCTCATGGTCCTGGCCATGGCATCCCCATGCCAATCCCCATTCCTTTTGGACGCCACAGGCGATGCTGTCGCGGCGGGTGGACTCCAGGATCCCCGCGCGCGCGCCCGAGCCAAGCACGCTTACATGCTCGGCACCCCTGAGCTCCTGTACGTGCACCCCGCGGAGCGGGAGTAGTGGGAGCCACATGTAAATACACGAAGGTATACGGACCTTCACCCGAAGCATTGTGCCCGTACATACATGAATAGAAGCAGGAAGGTAACCATATGTTTCGATCGTGCCGTTCGCATCACGACCCTAAAGAAAACAGATCGCAAAGCAGATCCGCAAACCCACTCGAGAGGGGTGAAGCCAAGTGCTGCACTGTGCAGCTCTGTACCGCCGAAGCAGAAGTAGCGAACCAACAGCACGCTCGCAGCACATCACCAGCAGGGACTTCAATTGCACGCGACGTCTGGCCATCGTCAGGCCATCGTCAAGCATAGCGTCCACACATGTGGCCAATTCAGGAATCCCCTCATCCCAAAATGTTGTCATCCCTTGAGGGGTAGACTTTTGCTTCCGCTGGCTTCCGCCAAGCTTCCGCCGCCTTCTGCCAGTGAAGCCGCCGCCGTTGTACTTCCACCGCTTTCCACCGACCTTCCGCCTCCTTCCACCGATGAAGAGATGACAACTCCTTCGACCCTCGAAGGCGAGGCCCTCTGTGGGACGCTCCATTCGAATGTCCCACACTGGCAGACCTACCCCGAAGAATGTCCGCCATACTCTGCGCGGGGGTGGCGGTTGCGAGCATAGCTTCTCGTGGTCATGTTTCAAGAAGGCGAACCACACATACACAGACACAATGAATCGTCGATTGCCATGGAAATCTGCGAAGATATGGGAAGTGTGGAGGAGGAGAGCGAAAATCAAGAAAAGCTTAAAAAAGATTGGGAATCCTGGGATTTGCGAGTAGTTGTGTGTGTGCCTGGGCCCGCTCAGCGTTCTCGTCCCCGAGGAGATGCAAAAACGCCCGAGCGCTGGAGTGAGGGGGGAGCCCGGGCTGCCCCGCGCCGTGTTCTGCACGCCGAGCTTGCCTGCCAGTGGGGGAGAGACAGGGGGCCAAGCATCGGGAGCGGCAAAGAGGGGGGTGTCCAAGAGGGGGGGGTGCAAATCATGACCGGCGGCATGTGCGCGGCCCAGCGGGGGGGCCCGGGACGTAATGACATAAGAAGAGGCGCCATGAAATCTGGGGAAAAATCATGGCCCGCGCCATGAAATCCACCCCCCCCTAGTCATCACCCCCCTCTTTTCCGCCCCCGACAAAGACGAGGGGGACGCAGGGGATGAGAGGGCAGGATTGCGGCCGGACCTAGGCCAGAATAACATCCTTCAACAGCACGAGGCCCTCCGTCGGCCAACACCAACCGAGCACCAACGGGCACCCTGCCCAGGATGCACAATCCTCCTCGGCCCGCCCGTATAGAGAAGGACGAGGGAGACGAGGACCGACGAAGAGGAGGCCGCGGGTCGCCTTCTCACTCACGCTGAACGGCAAGCGCAGGTCCTTCATGTCCGCGTTGGGCACGCGCTGTCCGGCGGCCTTGACGAAAAGGTCGTACGTGAAGACGTTCATGCCGTGCTCCTCCGGCGGGCCAGTGGGGGTGAGAGGCCGTGCGGCGAGAGCCTCGTCCGCTTCTCTGTCGTCCGCCTCCCCTCCTCTGTGGGACACCGTTGGGTGGGGACCAGCTCAGGGTGGGAACCATCGAGCCTGAATCGGCGACGCGTCGCCGAGAGATCGGCGATGGGCCCCCGTTGGCGACTCAGATGTTCCTGGGCGGGTTGGGCTGGGTTATCGGGCCTCTATCGGCGATCAGTGGGCGATTGGGGCTCGATGTCTCTTCGACTCCTCCTCCTCCTCCTCCCCCTCCTCCTCCTCCTCCTCCTCCTCCCCCTCCTCCTCCTCCTCCTCCTCCTCCCCCTCCTCCTCCTCCTCCCCCTCCTCCTCTTCGACTCTACGATGTCTCATCTGCTCCGGCCAGACGCTGCGAGAGCGGGCGGGCGCCGTGACCCTCCTCGAACCCAGCATCGGCGGGAACACCTGCGACCCACAGATTGGGAACGAGTGGGACAGCGGCTGCGGGACAGGCTACTGGCTCGAGCAGGCCGCCGCGACGCTGATGGGCCCGCAGCCGTGGAGAGGAGGCTTGCGAACCTACCGTTTGTTTCCCGAAGCCCCTTGTACAGCTCTCCACGGGAGCTGTCCGGAAATGTTCTGCCTGACTACCTCTCTTCTCCTTGCCCTCCCTCGCATTGTTTGTTGGTGACGCTGGGAAGCGCTGCCCAGGAGTTGCCTAGGACATGCGCGCGAGCACAGGAAGCGCGACGAAGGAGCCACGCAAACGCTTGACACTCACGTATGAGGAATGCGTAGGACAGCGGTTGCGGGACACGCTGCTGGCTCGAGAAAGCTTCCGAGACGCTCACTGGCCGGCAGCCGTAGGGAAGACACTAGCCTATCTGAGCCTACCGGCTTATGATCAAAACCCTTAGCTCTCAAAAAGAACTATGCCAGATTTGTTTGCCAAACGCTCTCTTCCCTTTCCTCCCTCTCGTCGGTTGTTCGTGACCCACGGGCATGGGAAGCGCTGTCTAGGAGCAGCGTCTTGGGAATGAGTGGGAAAGCGCTTGAGTGGGAAAGCGCTTGCGGGACACGCTGCAAGTTCCAGCAAATTGTTGTGGCGCTCTGTGATTGGCGGTTGCGGGGAGGAAACTGGCCTAACTCAATCGGCCTTCTTCCATCGAAAGATCACAGCTTCAAGGAGCTATCTGGGACCCTTCTGCCCGACCCTGTGCTTCCCCTCCATCCCCACACGCCGTTTGTTTGTGACCTACGGGCCTGGGAAGTTCTGCCGGGGAGCTGCCTTGACGCTGCCTAGTCCTGCGCGCGAGTGCAGGAGACGCTGTGAAGGAGCTGCGCAATGGGGAATGGGCAGGAGAGCACTTGCCGGACGCGTTGCTGGCGCGAACAGGCCACCGCGACGCTCACTTGAGGGGCAACGATAGGGGGGGACTGGCATAAGGGGGGGATGCATCGACCTGGAATCGGCGATACACCGCCGATAGATCGGCGACAGGCCTCGGATAGTGAATCCGCACCTTCCTGGCCAGGTTGGGGCTATCGGGTCCCCATCGGCGATCAAAGGGCGATTGGGGGTCGATGCGCCCCCCACCCCTGTGCCTGTCCCCCTCCAGCGTGGCCCCTGTCGGGAGCGGCCAAGAGGGGTGTCCAAGAGAGGGGGGTGCAAATCATGACCGGCGGCATGTGCGCGGCCCAGCGGGGGGGCCAGGGACGTAATGGAATAAGAAGAATCGCCATGAAATCTGAGGAAATATCATGGCCCCCGCCATGACATCCACCCCCCCCTAGTCATCACCCCCCTCTTTTCCGCCCCCGACCCTGATCACTGGCTGGCAGCCGTGGAGAAGCAGCCGGTCCACCCCAGCCTGCCAGCGTCTGCGCAACTTCCGCAGCGGCCGCGGGCGCAGCTCCCCGGGGGCCCCCCGCGGGCGCAGGCCCTCCGAGAGCGCGCGAGCGCCGCCACCGCCGGAACGGACGCGGGCGTCGGCGACGGCGCGAACGTCGAAGAGGATCCCCATGCTCCTCCAACTCCCCTTCCTCCTCCTCCTCCTCCTCCTCCCCCTCCCCCCTTCCTCCCTCGTCCTCCGAACTCCTGGCCCTGACCAATTATCCTCCTCCTCCTGTTCCTCCGCCTCCTCCGCCTCTTGATCTTCCACGCCCTTTCACCCAGTCGTTCACTCGCTCCCTTGCTGATAGCACGCGATGCGCCGAAGCAGCAGGACCATTCGCGATGATGTGTGTGGTCCGCGCGGAGACGACAGCACCGTTCTCAACCAGGGACGGGGCCAACGCTAAGGCTGGAGCTTACGGACGTGACCTGAGCTGAAACGAAAGCACCGCTCCCAAAAAGGAATGTGGCCGTCGCTGAGGATAGAACAACAGCCATATGTTGTTGAGGCGACAGTTCTATACGTTCGAACGATGTGCTTCTGGTATCATGTCTCAGGCGACACTGGCCAGACCACCTCAGGTCAAGGTATCTCCGAGCCGAGATCTCGGAGGGCGTCTCCACAGAAATTGGCGCGACCATCCTAGAAATCTGAAGAAATCTCTGTGAGGCCGTCCCTCGGCCGCAACGAGCATCTGGCCGGCCTTCCGGCAAATTGGCCAATCAACGCTGGCCCAGCTTTCCGGTAGGAGGTTTGTTTTTTGAATCACAGGCTCGACTGAACATATGATGCGAACGTATGCAACAAAGGGTAGATGGAGACCCAGAAGAGAAGAACACCCTTCAAGAACATTGGACCCTCGAGGGCGCCCTTCCCACGGATGCACAAGAACATCTGCGAAAACACACACACACAAACAACATTAGGGTACCCTTCCAGAACCGTCCTCAATCTTCTACCTCGGTCCGACCGTAGAAGGGAATGTACACCCCGACGGGCCGCGACCAAACGGCCGGAAAGCCGCTCGGGCGCGCCGAGGGGCGTCGCCGGATGACGAGGCCCCGAGAGGGTCCAAGGCAAAAGCGCGGAGCACCCCTCCTTCGGCTACACGTGGGAGTGGCCCTGGGCAGGAGGGACCCCTTTGGTGCGCGCCCTCTGGGGGCCGCGACAAGCCGCGGTCCGACCGCACACGTGTGCAAAAAGCAAAGGCAGCTGGCTGTCATCGCACACGCGGCGGGTCCCACGGGGGGGGCCCAGCAGCATCGGGGAACCCCTGCGGGCCGCCGGAGGATGTCGTTGCCGCCGCCGCCGTCGCCTCCGTCGTCCTCGTCGTCGTCGTCGTTGTGGTCGTCGTCATCGTCGTCGTCGCCATCACCGCTTCCGTAGTCGTAGTCGTGGTTGCCGTCGTCGTGGTCGCCGTCGTCGTCGCCTTCGCTCGACGTCGTCGTCGCTCGTCAGTCGCCGGCAAGCTCAAACCCCTGCGGCCCTGGATCCTCGCTGTGGAAAGGCTGGCCTCTGATGTCCATGACCCTCGCACCTAACCACGAGTTCGTGGTCTTAGACCAATACTCCACAGTGTCGCCGATGGCGTATGCAGTCGCTGTGCCGAACGGTTCGGGCGCTGCCTCCGGCTCCGTCATGATCACGGTCTCATCCGCCCTGGGCGCCTGCCCATGGCCCCTTTGTGCGGCAGGAGTGGGGCGCTTCGCAGACAGCGGCGCGAGAAGAAGCGCAATTCGGCGGCGAGCCGGGAGGGAAGTGAGATGGGGCGGGCCATTTCAGAAGGGTCAGAAAGCCTGCGGCCTCCTGAGAAGTTGCCAAAGACTTCCTCGACGACACAGAAAACTCCTCAAGAGGCGCGGGGGTTTCTGATACCTCAAGAAAGCCTGGAAAACTTCTGTAAGGCCCCCAGAGGCTCTTCAAGGAGGAGCCTCCGTAAAAAGAGTTGAGGAGGATGGGGAAGGTTTCCAAGGGTAGCGAGAAAGACGAAAAACAACATGGAAGAAGGATAACGACAAACATTATTATAACGGCGATGCCAAACAAGGCAACAAGGAACTATCGCTGAATTGTATGTTTGACCTCCCTGCCATTCAAGGACCAAGGAGCATGGTGCGAAGCGTCATCGCAATCTTATGTATACACACATATGTATCGGGCGAGAAAACGATACACATAAGAAACAAGAGGGATAGAAATGAACGAAAGAGCGTGTTCTACCGCTGCTGGCGGAAAACCGAGGGGGGTCACTACCGGTTCGAACCCCTCCCCCTCCCCTCCGGAAAACCGGGGGGGGTCACTACAGGTTCGAACCCCTCCCCCCCCAGCCCCCCAATTCATCATGAAAAGGGGGGGGTCACTACCGGTTCGAACCCCCCCCCCTCCCTGCTCCGAAAACCGGGGGGGTCACTACTGGTTCGAACACCCCCCCCCTCCGAAAACCGAGGGGGGTGCGGACAGTGGTGAGGACGGTGGTGGTGGGGACAGTGGTGAGGGGACAGCGGGACAGTGGTGGGGACAGTGGGACAGTGGTGGGGACTGTAGTGGTGGGGACAGTGGTGAGGACAATGGTGGGGACAGTGGACAGTGGTGGGGACGGTGGTGGTGGGGACAGTGGTGTGGGGACAGTGGGAGGTGGAAACAGTGGGGCAATGGAGGGTACAGTGGTAGTGGGGACAGTGGTGAAGGCGGTGGCGAGGACGGCGGTGGGACAATGGGACAGAGGTACAGTGGGGACAGTGGTGGGAACAGTGGGGACAGTGGTGGGAACAGTGGGACAGCTCAGTGGGACAGCGGAGGAGTCAGTGGGACGGGACAGTGGGGACAGTGGGGATAGTCGGGCAGTGGTTGGGGCCGTGGAGAAAGTGGGGAGAGTGGAACCGTGGTAGGAACAGTGGTGGGGACAGTGGGGACAGTGCGACAGTGGTGGGAGCACTGGTGGGGACAGTAGTAAGGACGGTGGTGGAACCAGTGGGGACAGCGGTGGTGAGGACAGTGGTGCTGGGAACAACAGTGGGGGATGTAGCGCGGACGGTGATAGGGGTTCGAACCGGTAGTGACCCCCCTCCGGTTTTCGGAGCAGGGAGGGGGGGGGGTTCGAACCGGTAGTGACCCCCCCCCGGTTTTCGAAGGGGGGGGGGGAGGGGTTCGAACCGGGTTCGAACCGGTAGTGACCCCCCCCGGTTTTCGAGGGGGGGGGGGGAGGGGTTAGTGGAGGGGGGGGTTTGCCGGGAGGGGGGGGGGGGGGGTTCGGGATAGGGGGGGATTTTTTGGAGGGGGGGGGGGGACCCCCGGGTTCCGGAGGAACAGGGCGGCAATTTTCCACAGTAAAGCGGCGGTGGATCACGCTCTCTCAAATGAACACATCAAACAACAAATGCGGTGTTCGGCCCAGGCTCCGTGCAAGCGTTCCCCGAATGTTGCGATAACCAATCCTCTTGGAAGCCGGGCCGTGCGCCCAGCGATCGGCATGACGGGGATTGTCCCCGCCTCCTCCCCTCCGTCCGACCCCCTCCTGTCTGGTCCTTCGCTTCGTCCGATCCTCCTCACCCCACTCCTCCCCTTCGATCCTCCCCTGCGATCCTCTTCTCTCTCCCCCTCCCGCCCTTCCACCCCCGGTCCTCCTATCCTCCCGTGCCCCCTCCTTGCCCCGCCCCCCTCCTTCCCCCGGCCCCCTCCCCTCGCGTCCCCCCCCCTTCTCCCTTCCCCCACTGCCCCTGCCAGGTCTCCCTCGTGGGAGGCGGCCTTCGATGTCACTCTCTTCACCATGGCATCCTCGGTGTCCACGTGCAACTGGTAGGAGACCCACTCCATTTTGTCCAGATGCTTGATCCACTGGCGTTCCTTCCAGATGATCCGGTCGAAGTCGCCTGAGCAGGATCAGTAAGAGCAGCAACAGGGAAGGAAGAGGGTGATAAAAATAGAAAAGATGGAATGAGGGAGCCGTGAAAGGAACAGGGACGCGGGGACGGAAGGAAGGATGGAGGGAGAAACAGAGACACAAGATAAGAACATATCCGCCATCCAGCGGAGAGGGGACGGGATGGGTGGTCGTCCTCATCATCATTCGAATCCTCGCCCTCCTCGTGCTCCTGCTCACTCTGCGGCGCCCCCGCCAAGCAGGTCCCCCGCACGCCAGCGCGCGAGGCAACACCGACGAGGCACTGGTAGCCTGGCTGGCAGCGAGGCCGTCGTCCAAGCCATGGCCCTGGTCTGCCGATGCATCACCGTAGAGCCACGGAGCCACGGCAAAGCCAGTGGCAAAGCTGGCCAGCGGACGCCAAGGACGCCAGCGACGACCCGAACCTGTCCGAACCTGCAGCCAGACCACTTCAACGACCACGTGACATGTCCTTCGCTGGCCATCAAGGCCAGCTAGGACGGCCAGGGGCCCTACGCTCCGCGGCGAAGAAAGTTCCCCCCCCCAAGACGTCCTGCCAGGACGATGGGTCTGCAACGAAGCCCAGTTCGATTGCCGCGCCTGCCCATTCTGTGCATGGCACCTCTACTCCAACCAGGCTGGGCCCCAGCATGGCCTCTTCTGCCCTTGGTGCAAAGGAGGGGCGCAGCATGAGATGGTCCACGGGGGGGTAAGGG